GGAGAAAAAAATGGGGAAATGGTGATTTTTTTTTTTAAATACTTACGGGGTAATTTTATTTTTACGGCGATGCTTCTTCATATATCAATCAAATTCTCTACTCTTTTGTCTGTTAATTTTTTTTTCTTACCGTTTTTTTTCTTATGTTGAAATGGCATAAATGTTGTTTATGTATGAGGTTATTTTGGAGATTTTACGTTGTGGATAAGTAGGAATCATTTCTGTCTTTGGTAAGGTTTATTTCTCGTGAATTTTTAGTCAATTTTTGTTGTTGTTGTTTGTCTATGCATTATAAAAAAAAGACCGTACTAGAAAAGTAGAGGTTCGTAAAAAGTATTGAATACTCGTGAAACAAAAGTATCGGTATAGGGTTATTTCACGTGTATTTTGTTGTTATGGTTATACGTATTCGTCTTAAATTGAGTGTCGTATTAGTTTTGGTATTCTATTTTGAGTTGTTTTGAATTTATGAAATTAATACATAATATAACTCCGAATCAAAATGAACACAAACCATTAAAAGTCCACTTATTGATTTAGCTTCACATATTATCAAATTTGTGTGAAATTGTTTTTTTTTTGTTCTTTACAACTCACACACGCATATTATTTTAAAATGAATTATGTACGCCAGCTTGATACACCTTTTAGTCATGTGAATGTCAAAAAGAAAGTTATTGTGAATCGGGCAGAAAATAGCCGAGTCCATTCTTTATATTTTTTTTTTTTTGCTAAACGTTTCTTTATACTTTTGACAATTGTGATTTATGGCATTTATGTAAGTTTGGAATTTTATTTTATTTTGCTAATAATATAAATACCATTAAAAATAATGAAAGTGTGAAGTATTACATGAGAGCTCTACCTACAATAATGAATTGAAAAAAAATATATATCTCAAAACAAGGTTACATAAAGGTTGAGAAAGATTTAGGTTGAAGCTAACCGATCCATAATTGCATTATATTTCAATTGGCAAAAAGAAATAAGTTTGGTATTTAGTTTTTTCTAGTGCAATATATAAAGTTCCATAATAGAATTGTAAGAGTTTTTATTTTTTGAAAAGGTTCGACACACCTATTTACAATGAACAAGCACACAATTTACAAACCAATCCGCAATGTTTTTTTTTGGTCAACACCGATACGCAATAATACTTGTGTAAGTTTGATGGTGTTGTTACGATAAACAAATTATGTATGTCGTTGTCAAACAAACAAAAAATTGTTGCCATGTAAAGAAAGAATCTAAATAAATAGGAAGAAACGAAAAAAATCAAATGTGGAAGTGCTTTTATGAAGATGGACTCTTGGTTCCATTTTCGATAAAAGATTGAAAAGTGCGGGCTGTTTTTAGATTAAACCCACCTTTTACACTGACTATTTGTGTCACCACCCACTGTCCCACTTGAATATATCTCATCATTTGTTATTTATTTTAGTTTTGTTAGAGAATTTGTTGGGGGCGATCCATTATATTGAGGCGGTATTTATATAACTTTTATTATTTCATTATTTATAAATATTCAAATTCTTATATTCGACTGGGAGTTAGGAGCCCATTTTCATACTTTTTAAATATATTCTTTTGGATATTTGCATACTTTGAAAATCGATACCTTCTAGTTATGGCAAAGGTGATGCAAGTTGCCAACTTGGTCAATTATGCAAGTTGCCAACTTGGTATTAAACGCCGACAAATTATTATATTTCACAAAAAGTTAAAACGATAGAGAAAAAAAAAAATTGTATGTACTTCTTGAAGTTGATGATGGTAAGCCAATGAGGACATCGATATGTTTGAGCACCGCACCTACTTTAATGATTATCATCGTTAACGTCAAATCTTTCTTTTCATTTTTTTAGTTGGGAGAAAGAGATCTAAATCTAAAAATATTATACGTTGAAAATATTAATTTTATAGGGGAAGCTCTAGTAATTGATTATAATGGTGTTATTTTAATATAAGAAATCTTTAGCAATAATGATTCTTACCTAATTATTAAACTTTATTCCTCGAGATGAAAAAACAAAACGCGAAAACAAAAACAACAAACGATTGTGATGTACTGATGTTCTATCTATTTTGAGACATAGTGTTTACAGTGTTTCAAGTTCCATTAAGTTATAGCCTAATTTGTGAGTTTTTTTTCGTTTTATATTTAATATAGGTTTAATCTTAGGAATAACATATAATTAAATTAAATGATGTAAGCAAATTTTGATTCAAATGTAGACT